TTTCCCTTTCCTGAAAACACCCATAGCCTCTCCCCTTTTCCTGCTTCCTTTTCTTCTTCCAGGGTTGTCAACCTCCAGGTGGGAGTCACATCACAACAGATCTCCCATCTACAGAGATCAGTTCCCCTTAGGGTTGCCACTCCGAGGTTGGGAAATCCCTGGAGATTTGGGGGTGGAGCCTTGTGAAGGTGAGGTTTGGGGTGGGAAGCAACCTCAGCAGGGCATAATGCCATAGACTCCACCCTCCAAAGCAGCCATTTTCTCCAGAGAAACTGATCTCTGTCATCTGGAGAACAGCTGTAATTCCAGGTGACCTCCAGCTCCACCTGGAAGCTCCCCTGGAGGTGATTATTGCTACCCCAAAACCTAATCCTAAACTCTTCTCAATTTCTTGTCATTTTTTTTCCAAAGCTATAATGTGTTGTAACAAATGAATATGGGATAACCCTGGCTGTCATCACAACAAAAGTTAACACCTATCCCTCACCTAAATAAGCTTTGAACGTCTACTGAGAACCACCAAGAGGCACTTGCAATAAATGATTGATGAAAATACTAGGCACCACAATCGGATTTCTGGATGCCATGACACCTGGGATTTGTTCAGGCCCTCTGCTAGACTGAACACTGAAGTACGAGCTTGGGGACTTCTGTCTCCTTATCACAAACCATGGTTTGTTGGTGGCACCTGAATACAGCGGTTGAAATAACTAGGTTGAAATAATGAGGGCAGGGATTACATTACCCATCCCCCCCCCGAATTAGAGTCACAGATATTGACCTTCAGTAATTACATCTGAATCTTGTTAAACCATATTTTATCCAGTTAGAAAGATTTATACCAATTGAAAAACTGTCACTATGCATATATTACTGAAGTAGAGAAAGACATGGATATCCAATTTCTTCATACCAAGTACTGCAAAGCTATTTTTTCTTTGACATGTACCTGAAACAAGGAATGAAACCAAAGATATTAAAGACTGCCTTTCCTTCCAACAGCGCGCAATAGCTTCTCTTTACAAAATCATTACCTTACACTTCCTTCGTTATCTCTAAAAAGACATCTACACCGATGTTACAGTAATGTACAACTTTAATCCATGGAATGAACCAATAAATTAGCTGAAAAGGCAGGTGATCAACCAACTAAAATGTCTTTAAATCAGGTTGAGGTACCTTGTTTATTACCGTAATTTAAAATGATACCCAACAAAAAAATACTTTGTCAGAGGGCTTCTAAAGCAGAACTAAAACCAGTTCTGTCTGCCACTGCAGTTTACCATCAGTAACACGCAAGGAGCTGCACAGAACATTGAAAAGGACGCCAATGCTGCCTGGAGGACTTACAAGCTCATAACAGAATGGATGTGCCTAGCAAAGGACAGTCAGAAGAATTTCAGGTATATATAGATGAGTGCCTACCACATCTGTGGGGCTCCCTTCATAACATCAGGGATGGAAACTGATGAAGATCTAGTCCTGCAGCAGAAGGCAGCTCCCAATCTGGTGGAAAAGGAAGAGATAAGTGAACTTTAAGCTGAGGCACCAGGTATGTACATCTAAAGTAGCAGGACCCTCATGCTCCCTCTAAGCCAGGCGTGTCGAACTCATTTGTTATGAGGGCCAGATCTGACATAAATGAGATCTTGTTGGCCAGGACCATGTGTGTCATAAAATGTAATGCCAGGTAGCGGAGATATAAACTTTATAAAGGACACAAAAAACAAAGGGTTTTTTAAAAATAAAAATATGCTTAAAACATTGCTACTCTTGCAATATTTTGTTTATTTAACAGTGTCTGACAACTGACACCTCTTGCTCTGAATGACTGCATCAAAATGTCTGTGCTGTTGCAGTCTTGAGTATGCTGTTCAGCTGTTTATCTGTAAGCTGCAAACCTACGATGACGCAGCAGCAGCAGACCTGGAAGAAGCAGAAGACAGCCAGTTCCACTGCGGGCCTGATAGAAGCCCTCCAGGGGCCTGATCCGACCCCCGGGCCACATGTCTAACGCTTCTGCTCTAAGCTGTGGAGTCTTGTGAGCCAAAACTCCACTTTGTGAGCTATGGGCATTAAAGCTGTGAGTGAGCGATTTGGCTACTGCATAAATTAGTCTGCTCTGGAGCCATCCTTCCTGAGCTAAGACAAAAATGTGTGAACCGGAGGCTAAAAAACTGTGAGCTAGCTCACACTAACTCAGCTTAGAGGGAACACTGGTTTACAACATAGTATATAATAACAAAAACAAACAGCAGGTTAATTAAACAAAGTAACCAATCTACACAATCAGATTATACCCAAAGAGAAAAACTGTGGCAACCAAACATAACTTGTTTCCACTACCGTTTGTTACATCTCTACTGCCCAAATCAAGACAAATAGGCTACAGCCCTATGTATATATTATTTACCTTGCAGTAAGTCCCGCTGAAGTCAATGGGATTTGTTTTCAAGCATACACGGTTAGGCTTGGGCTTCAAGCATTCCCCTTTGCATGATTACATAATTACATAATTGTTCTATTTTTTTGTAGAACAATTGAGAGCGTGAAGTACATGGATAATTTGCTAGCTCACACAATACATGCAAATGCTGTTCCAATTAATGCTATGGCTTGTTCATGGAGAAGATAATTAACAATGTCCCGGCTGGGGGCGTGGGTGGCATCGCGGCCTTTGGAAGGAATGCAAACCAGCCCGAAGGAGATCGAGCATCGCAGAGGGGCAAGGAGGCAGCGAAAGCGGCATCCTGTCTCGGTGTCCTGTATGACTAAGGATAGGAAGAGGGGCTGACGAGGCCGATCGGTCCAACTCCATGCGTCGAGCGAGGGGCTCCATGGCACAGCGTGTGCTTTGCACGCAGGAGAGTCAGGGCCGGCTCCAGCTTATTTTGCACCCTAGGCGAGGATCCCTTCTGCCCCCTCCCCTGCGCCCACCAATTTGCAAAAATAAATGCATTTTGGGAAGAATGAAAAACACAAATAATCAAGAAACTCCCAGAGTACGGGGCCGGGTACAGTTTGGTGTCCCTAAGGGCCGTCCCACTCTAGGCGATCGCCTAGTTCGCCTAGTGAGTGAGCCGGCCCTGCACAGAAGGGTCCCAGGCTCACAACCGCTGGCTCCACAGTTAAAGACTCTCAGGCAGCAGGTGATGAGAAAGGATCTTGCTCTGTCTAAGACCACAGAGAACTGCTGCCATCCACTCTAGACAATATGGCACATACAAGAGAGCCACTGTGGTGTAGCAGTGTACAGTATCAGACCAGGATCTGGAAGACCCAAGCTCAAATTCCCTTTCTCCATGGAAGCTTGCTGGGTGACCTTGGGCCAGCCGCACACCCTCAGCCTAACCTACCTCACAGGGTTGTTGTGAGGATAACATGGAAGAACAGAGAGCGACATAAGCACATTGGGGAGAAAGGTGGGGTATAAATGAAGGGCCTAAATAGTGCATAATGCAGGCACAGAAACAACAGAAGACGGGGAGGAAGGAAAGTTTGAGGAGGGAAGTAAGTTCAAACTCAGGCATATCCAGGCAAAATAAGCTAAAGTCTTGGGGCCAGTGTGGGGTAGTGGTTGGAGGCTGGAATTTCATTCAGTGGCATTTGGGCCTCTCTCCCACCTAATATGGTGGTTATGAGGACAAAAGGAGGAAAAGATGTTGCTCTGAGCTCCTTGGAAGAAAACTGGGATCAAAAGTACCACACAGAGAGTCTAAGCAAAATTTTATTCCACATCGTAAGCATTTGTAAACCAGAGTCTGCATCTTCAGATGCACTCAGTGGATCCACAGGAAGCTGTCACTTTCCGTAGGGGGAAGGTCAAGGGGCCTTGAAAAGCAGGAAATAACGGGTGAAATCCAATCTGCGAAAAATCCAAATCGAATCAAAGAAAAACAGAAATCACTCACTATTTATGCCAAGTGAGATGCCCCTTGGAATAGCCTGGGAATCCTAAACTGCAATCCTAAAGAGAGCCAGTGTGGTGTATTCAGGCCAGTGTTCCCTCTAAGCTGTGTCACAGTTTTTTTAGCCTCCAGCTCACACATTTTTGTATTAGCTCAGGAAGGATGGCTCCAGAGCAAACTAATTCATGCAGCAGACAAAATTGCTCACTCGCAACTTTAATGCCGGTAGGTCACAAAGTAGAATTTTTGCTCACAAGCAGTGTTCCCTCTAAGCTGAGTTAGTGTGAGCTAGCTCACCGTTTGTTAGCCTCTGGCTCACAGATTTTTGTCTTAGCTCAGGAAGGATGGCTCCAGAGCAAACTAATTTATGCAGCAGCCAAATCGCTGGCTCACAACTTTAATGCCAGTAGCTCACCAAGTAGAATTTTTGCTCACAAGACTCCACAGCTTAGAGGGAACATTGGTCACAAGACTCCACAGCTTAGAGGGAGCATTGCTCCTAACAATGTTAACATGTCTACGATTGTAGATGTAACCCTTCTGGGAATGTACAATGACCTCCCTCTTTTCTTGAGGGCCACATATGGGGGGGGGGGGTTATACTGTACACGAAATATAAAGCAATTACAGATTGTACCGTTGCAGCCAAAGCCTCAGAGTCTTGTGGCAGCCTTAGGTTAGACAGACAGATCCCCCCATCCATTCCCGGCCGGGTCAGAGAAGGATGCCTGCACACGCACGCACACGCCAGCCAGAGCACGTACACCCACACGCGCGGGGGCGCGCACAAACCCCAAAGGCAGCACCCCCCCCAAGCCCCGGAAAGCGGCGTGTGCGGAGAGGAGCACGTGGCTCTCGTCGCTGGTTTTCCATTTTCCTCTCTCTCTCTCTCTCTTTTAATGCCAGCTGGGAGGCGGCTCATCGCTTTCGATGCGCCGGCATCTTTCCCCACCAGCCAGCAGGCCAAAAGACGGCATCTCTGAGAAGCCGGCAGGGAAGAAAGGGAGTCAAGATGCAAAAAAGAAAAGGAAAAAAAAAGAAAGCCATCTTTGCAGTCGCTCGAGGATATATATATATATATTTAAGTAGAAATCCTGCCTGGGTGGGTAGTATCTTTCCCCTGCATTTTCCCATCCTTCCTTATCCGCCCCTGGGGCGAGATTAGAAGCTGGAGAAACAGGAGACCATCTGCAGTAAGGCCGTTTACAGCCGACGGCGATCCGGAAAAATGATCGTTGGTGGAAACTCGTGGGCGGGGTGGGGTGGGAGAACATCTTTGCTTGCAAACTCGGGTGGGGGGGCGGCTAGCCAGCATCACTGCCTTCTGCACCCATATGTGCAAGGCCAGAAACTAGCCGCGACGCCCGTCGGATGTGCCCTTCGGGAATCGTTCTCCAGGTTTTATAGGCCGCCCGGCTCGAGAGATGTGTGATGCCGTCTCCTCCAGGCCACCCCTTAAAATGGTCCTTCCAGCCCACAGGAAGGTCCCTGAAATAGCTATTTCGCCAGCAGTCCTCTTCCTCGCCCTTCAGCGGGGAGGAACCCGTCGCCTCTCTCCACGCTCCGGTCTTCAAGCCGAGCCCAAGCCAACTGAAGTAGCGGAAGGAACACAATCCCGTGTGGAAGGTGGCGGTCCGGGGCTTTCCAAGATGAACTCTGGCCACGATCACGGTGCAATTAAGACCCATCACGGAGCTTCGGCCGGACAAGCAGAGGTGGGCCGGGGAGAGGAAAAGGACGCTGTGCAAAGAGGTCCGCGGACTTGCTACCCGGAGGCAGGCAACGGTCAACCGCCTCTGAGCCATGCACTTCTTGCCTCGAAAACCCTCCGGGCTCGCCCTCCGTGGGCCGAGACTGGACTGCCCTTCCCGCCGCCAGCACGCATCTCCGGGCACAGGCGGACACACCCGGGCAGCAGCCTCTTGGCTCTTCCCCCCCAATCCCATCCCATCCCAATACAGACTTGACAGACGGAGGCTGGAAGCAAATGCAAGGCTGCTTTCCCCACCAGCACCCAAGAACACACAAGCTTCCCGGCCTCATCGCTTGCGAGAAAAGAGAGAAACGCTCGGAGAGGATCCACGACCCCTTTTCCCTGACTGAGTGAAAACTGTCCCTGTATTCTGCCCCCCTTTTGACCCCCCCCCCCCCCGGTAGGAAGAGCTGCAAAGCAGCGAATTCCGAGTCACAAGAGTAGACACAGAAGGCTGCTAAATAAGGTATAGGAGGCTGCCGCGGTCTGCCCTTTCAAGGGTGCAGTCCTGGGCAGAGTGCGAGCCCCGCACAACTCAGAGAGGGCTTACTCCCGAGTAAGCACACAGAGGATCGGGCTTGCACAACGCCTTCCCCCTCCACTCCGCAAAAGAGGGACTCACCCCCGTCTCCAGTGCTCTGGATCCAGCCGCAGGAATTCTCACCTGCCTCACTTGGTGCTCCCGCCAGCGTGCCCCGGGATTTCCAGATGCGGATGCACCTCTGGCCCGGGCTCCTCCTGCCAGCGGCACAATAACAAGGAAGTTTTTCTTCCCAGCGAGGCAGTGTACCCTACCTACGTGATCGACGGGCACTCCCTTCCAATGGCAAGGCAAGGGGACTCTCCCGGCCGCACCAATCGCCGCCTTCCGGAGGCTGACATATGCAGAGGGGGTGGGGCTACGAACCAGTTTGTAGGAGGGGAGGCAGGGCCGGTGGTTAACTAGAGCCGCGCCAAAGAGGTATAAAAAGATCGTGGGTAGCATATATGTGTGGGTTAAGAGTGTGCAAGCCCTGGTAGTGAAGGAAAGTGCCATCGCAACCCAGTAGGGCTTTCAAGGCAAGAGGTTTACCATGACCTGCCTCTGTGTCACACAACTGCTAAGGTTGCCAGTCTCCAGGTGGGACCTGGGGATCCCCCGGAATTACACCTCATTTCCACACTACAGAGATCAGTTCCCCTGGAGAAAATGGATGCTTTGGAGGGTGGACTCTGTGGCATTGTACCCCACTGAGGTCCCTGCCCTCCCCAGGCTCCAGGGCCCCAGATCTCCAGGAGTTTCCCAATCTGGATCTTACAACCCTACCCCCCTTCCCATCCCCTGCCAAGGGTCAGCAGGGACCTGGCAACACTGGCCCCCCGGGGCTGGCCCTGCTTAACTTCAGATATACGACAAAATTTGGTTCGCCTGGGCCATCCAGGGCAGGTTATATGTGCAAGCTTTAGGATTACGCAGCAGTCATTACCAGGGCAAAATTACAGTGCTTGCCTCTTACATAATCTCCCACGAAAGCAGCAAACAGTTTAACAAACAGTAATGTAGCTGCCAATTACTTCGTTGCACCTCTTTGGTGCCTTTACAGTTAAAAAACAGCCCTTCCGGCCCTTCCTACCAAAACGGGTCAGTATATATTTCCAGCAATTTACTGCCGATTTATGAACAGAGCAAGACAGGGCCTGAATGTGGTGGGTGCCAACCAAGTCTCAGTGAGTGATGAACACATTAATGGTTTTATGAGCTCTTTGGCTGTAAGCGTTGCCGTGGCAGGTCCTAACAATCCCTTTCCAGAGGAGTGCGAAATGCTGATAGCACTAAATCAACAAGCAGGCATCAGTCCAGCGGAAGAGTTTTGGCAAGCAGTGCCAGAAACAGAATCCTTAGTGCTCAGAAATTGAATGAGAGAGCCACCTTGGTCAGCACTCGCATTTTGTTTTTAAAATGGGCTTTCCTCCACTTTTTAGATATTGTTTAACAACATTCAGGAGTGATCCACTGGACACCAACTGAAATCCCTTTTGCATAACTTTTGGGTACTTTCAGATGGGAGCTGTGTTGTTCTGTAGTAGAACAGCTAGATTCAAATTCAGAAGCACTTTAGAGACCAACCAGATTTTTTTGGGGGGGAGGGGGAAGCTTTTGAGAGTCAAGACTCCCTTGGTCAGACGGGTGCTTGCACATAAGGTCCATGGAGAAGCCAGTTGCTTGCCCAGTGACCGGAGAAGACGGGACTTGTCCTGCATTTTTACTTTAAAGTTAGGATCACTGGTTCAATGTTCCCTCTAAACTGTGGAGTCTTGGAAGCAAAAATTCTATTTTGTGAGCTACTGGCATTAAAGTTGTGAGCGAGCGATTTGGCTATTGCATAAATTAGTTTGCTCCGGAGCCATCCTTCCTGAGCTAAGACGAAAATGTGTGAGCCGGAGGCTAAAAAACTGTGAGCTAGCTCACACTGACTCAGCTTAGAGGGAACACTGCTGGTGTTATGTATTTGCTTACTTGTCTTGCCTAAAGTCCTTGTTCAAACGCTGCCTCGATCTCAGTCTATAACAACTGGGCAAGCAACTGGCTTCTTAAAAATGACATTGGCATCCAGTAGTTGCCAACTTCCAGGTTAGGACCTGGAGATCTCCTGGAATTACAACTGCTCTCTAGGCTACAGAGAGCTGTTCCCCTGCAGAAAGTGGCTGCTTTGGAGGATGGACCCCATAGTATTATGCCCTGCTTTTTTTTTTTGGTCAAAAGACTTTTTATTTTCCATTCTTATCACATTTTACATCTTTTTATCAATTGGTTGAATATTCCCTTTTCCCTCCCTCCCCCGAAAGGCTTCCCGCAATGCACTTCCCTCATGTCCCATATGGATAAACTTAAGATAACATCAAGTACTTAATATTGTTCTAAACATAGTAAATTTTGTCTCACGTCCCAGTTCTTTTCTAAATATATCTTAAAGTCCTTCCATTCTTCAAAAAATTCTTGGTCCTCTTTGTTGTTCAACTTTTTGGTTATTTTGTCCATCTCAGCCATGAACAGAACTTTTTGTATCCATTCTTCCAGATCTGGTATTTTTTCTTGCTTCCAATATTGAGCATATATCATTCTTGCCGTTGTTATCAAATACCAGAATAGTGTCTTTTTTGTTACATTTAGTTCTTCCATTTTTAAACCTAAGAGCAGAATTTCAGGTGTTTTCTTAAAAGAACATTTTAGAACCTTTTGCATCTCACTGTGGACTTTTGTCCAAAAGTCCCTAGCTTTATCACATGTCCACCACATGTGATAAAATGAGCCCTCGTGTTTTTTACATTTCCTTATTATGCCCTGCTGAGGTCCTGCCCCTCTCCGAATCCTGCCCTCCCCAGGCTTCATCTCCAAAGCTCCAGGAATTTCCTATTCTGGAGTTGGCAACCCTAACCAGAAGACGCAAAGGACGTTGAGGCGCAGGCGCGGCGGTGCCAAAATGGACAGAGCCGAAGTGGCGCTGATGCGAACCGCGCGAGTGCAGCCGACGCCAAAGACCACCGGAAGGAGAAGAAGAGGAACCAAAACCGAAAGCCGAGCCGACAATAAGCCGAACCGGGAAAAAGAGAAGAACAACAAGACCCTCCACTGGGTGCTGGTAGGGTAGTCCGCACCCCTGACTATATGTGGCCATAGATAGGGATAAAGGGTAACTGTAAGCCGCTCAGAGACCCCTTGGGGGGTTCGAGCGGGATACAAGCTGAAAGTATAAATAAATAAATAACATGCAGTGATCATACCATCAAGCGCGATGGTCACAAAATGAGTTTTGAACTTGGGGAACTACTCATACTATACTTTTTTCAGTACACATATTACCTTTGTTATTCACTGAGTTGGTTTAGGTTCCTTTGGTGGTTGGTTTAGATACTCAGATTTCCTAGAGCAAAACCTGCTTCTTTTGTTCTTTTCTGTAACCTTTACAGTAAGCATTATGCTAATGTTCCCTGAGCGTTTTCTACACTGAATCAAGACACCATAATATTAGTTTTACAAGATAAATTGATCCGTTTGCTTATAGTAAGATCAGCTGAAAGACTTCTTAGGTTTTCACTGCTCAGTCCTCATTTATTGACATTTTTAAAAATGAAAGAAAGGTCTCTCTTTTGTGTAAAAAACCAAAACTCTAGCCTGATTCTCAGCACGGGTAACATTCCCACTTGATCCACACAGAAGATACGGTGTTCATTTGTACCCAGGTATCGAGTTTACCATTACTTTGTTTCACCTACAAAGACCCCATTCGTGTTGGCAAAGCCGAGGAATTTCTCAAAGCCATTTAAGAAAAAAAGAGGTGCGGGCTTTTCAATTTCTTGCAAAGAAGCAGTTCATACCTGAACAGGGATTATGGGAAGAGGGTGAGTTTTTATGGCCTATAAAGTTTCCTTAAGCTTTCTCTCCCTTGTGCCAGCTGCATCGCGTTAGACTAGAAGGAAATAATCTTAACCCGTAAATAGACCTGTAATCATTTAATCTCTCATTGGTTACTTGTGAAATCCCAGAAACAAACGTAGCGCCTGCAGACACTCGACTGTTCAGTTGCTCAAGTAAATGCGTTTCTCTGAGCCAGTATTTGAGGATAGGACAGAAGAAAGGTCAAGAGTCTGCTACAACGCTACAGCAAAATGTGGCAGAATTGGGAAACAAATTTGGCTCTTTTAAGGTGTATAGAAGGGGAAGGTAGGATACTGGGATAACCAGGATACGAAGGGAGTGGCAGGGAACTATTCTGAAGGGATTAAAGGGCTCCTTAGAAGTGCTGTAAAGGTAAAGGTAAAGGTTCCCTTGCTCGAAAGCCAGTCGACTCCAACTCTAGGGTTGCGGTGCTCATCTCCGTTTCAAAGCTGAAGAGCCAGCGCTGTCCGAAGACGTTTCCGTGGTCATGTGGCCGGCATGACTAAACACCAAGGCACACGGAACGCTGTTACCTTCCCACCGAAGTGGTCCCTATTTCTCTACTTGCAATTTCTTGCTTTCGATCTGCTAGGTTGGCAGGAGCTGGAACTAGAGAGTGCTGTAGAGAAAGGGAAACCATAGAGGTAGGATGTTGTCTTGGCCTGGACGGCCCAGGCAAGCCTGGTCTCAGCAGAGCTGCGAAGTTAGGCAGGATTGATCCTAGATAGTACTTGAGAGGCCACCGAGGAAGTCCAGGAGTTGCAAGTGTTAGATTCACTGGTATGGTATGTGAAAAGTACACAAACGGAGAGTGATTTCAGCAAAGCGTACTTTATTCTATCCGGAACAAGACAACTTTGGCCGGCTCGCAGGCCGGCTTATATCCCCGAGAAACCGCCACCCAAAACACACACCCTACTTCCCTATAGGTTATTTACAGTGGCCAAGAGTCCCATAGGCTCTCGGCCGGGAACCTAGCCCCCTGATTGGAGCAGGCTAGGATCCGCATAGTCCATTGTCTCTTGGACTTGTCTGGACTGGATACATTACAGTATGGCCAGGAACGAGGCTTACACACAGTAGCAGCTTCTCAGTACTGTGTGTGCTAGCAAAGTTACAGAGTCACACCGAGTCAGTTTTTGAACAGCTCCACAGGGAGGCAGCTAATGGCAAACCATACCTGTTGGTCTCTTGCCTTGTAAACCCTACGGGATTGCCGTATATCAACTGTGACTTGATGGCACTTTCCACTGGAAATGTAACTTCCAGGTTGCACCGAATCTCCCAAAAGCTGCTGGCTGCATAACTAGGTTTACTTTCAA